TCTCTCTCTCTCTCTCTCTCTCTCTCGCAATTAATTATTGATTTAATTAAGAGTAATTTTATTTTTGATTATAGTGTGAAGAAATGATGACGAAAGATGGTAGAAAATAAAATATTATTATCCGGGGTTTGACCATAACAGATTTAAAATTTTTTAAATAAAGATGATTTTTATTTAAATCTATTGTTTTATTTAATTTACAATATTATTTTACATTATTACATTTTTGTTCTTGTATTATTTTACATTTAAATATGACCTGAAATAAATATATAAAATACCCCAACAAATGTGTACTATTTATTTTGGTGCTTTTTAATAAAATGATGGTTTAATTTAAGAATTTTAAAATTGTAATTAGTTTTGTAAACTTATGTTTAAGTTATGTTTGAGTTTAAAAAGTTTTAGTTTAGTTTTAGTCGTAAAAAGTGTTGTGTAATCATTTAAATATTAGCACTAACTTTAACAACGAGTACAATAAAAAATTGTTAATTTAGTGATAAATAAATTGACAATTTTCATTATCCATAGACCAACTATTTAATAAATATAATAATTAAATTTTAATATTCCTGTAAAATTATGTAAACTAAAACTTATTATTTAAGTTATATTGTTTAATGCAATTAATTTATAATGATAATTTAAAGTGATAAAATATTTATAACATTGCAAAAGTCTTGCCATCTATTTTATCGAAATATTATTGCATTTTATAATGAATTTTAATTGTAATTGTGAATTATTTAGCAACATTTATTTTATCTATGCAATTTAATAATTATAATTAAATATTGTCTAAATTATTATTTATAACATGATGATTAAAATAAAACTAATTAATCCATATTTTAAACTATGTATAAAATAGTCATAAGTCCTAATTACTGTCTAGATAGATTACATTGTTTAAAAGTAAATCATAAACATTATAAATATGTTGACAACACTCTCACGTTCACCCAGGTAACCAAATCTATATAATGTATAATACAATAATGTTTTGTACATACATAATAAAAATCATAGCAAACAACTGACTTGTGAGATCAATAATCTAGATAATAATAAAAACACATAATGTTATACCATTACCATGAAGTGAATCATACACTCGTATTGATAGCAATTGTTTAAATATAAATTCAATTATCTATTATCTAAAGAAACCCTTTTGTTAGACATTTATATTTATATCCCATAAAAAGTGAATAATACATATCCGCAGAAAATCTATGAAAATTGTTATTATTATACCAAATAAAATATTTTTTAGTTTCATTGTTAGACTAATTTATATAACACGCTTTGTATATAAAACTAGTTCACTATTATTCAATATATTGATTTGTTTATGCGTTGCATCAAGGGCAAATTATATAATATACATTACTATTAAATTGATAAATAATTAAATAAGTTAGAATTAATAATGGTTAAATTATTAGCCGAACGCATCAGATGTTACGCCAACGCTATATGGCTGGTAAATAAATTATTTATTTTAAACTAAATTACAACTAGTTATTAGTATTATTATGCAAATAGGCATGTGCATTGCTGATGGTCATTATTGGTCTTATTGAGGCTATTGGCGGTGATAATGATGACCTGGCTGGTGGCATTTTATCTACCACATGTGGCTTTATAATGTTTATTATTTATGCTCTTGGTATTCTTAAAGAAAGCTGCAACCTATTACAATGTATGGTAAGTATTCACGAGAGAGAGAGAGAACAAAAAAACTGTAACATTATTACAAACCTGTTATGTTTCAAAACCAATGTTTAATGAAGATATTAATTTGGTTGAATTGAGCAAACTGCTTTTTGTCACAAGACAACCATATTTACCTATTATTATACCTTAATTAATTTATGTATTAACATTTAATATAATTACCTTTATTTAATAGATCGTGATCATGTTTATGATATTGTTACCACTACAAATTACCACAATTAGTCTAAGCTTCGCTATTTTACATGATGTAAGTGAACATAAAATTGAACCAATAATAACTAAAATAAACGTATTATTTTAATATTTGTATATTTTCAGGGTAATGACTTAACCATGGGTATCGTCAGCTCAATTGCACTGATACTGGAGTTTGTAATACTGTTAACAACAGTCACATCCCAGCGCTGGGAGCGTATGGGCACAACTATCCGTAGATCACTTGACCGGCCGTTTGGTATATACAGTGACAGACAATTTGATAACATTGCCTATCAGTCCCTATAAGATTATGTCGTAAAACTTTATTCATAAAAAAAACTGTAACTTTAAAATAATATTGAATTTTAATATTAGATCGAAAAGTTTAAGCAAATAATATGGACTAGTTAAGCAGTACACTTATTATTAATAATTTTTAATTAACACTAACCTTGTTCACTTAAATAACAAATAGAAATGAAAATTAATTTCTATAAATTTTATTATTGTAATTTTAATTACACAATTTCATACTTAAAATACAAATTAAAAACATCCAACAAACATGTCACAAATCATAAATCAAACATCTAGCAACTTAATTAATGATTATGCTCATTAACTCGATCAATTTTCTCGCGTCTAATTGGCTCATTAATTGGGGGCAATAGTTGTGGCTCGTGCTCGGGCTCGGACCAGGACTCGTGCACCGGCAACGGGTACGGATATTCGGGCACCGACTGCTCGGGATAGGGCTGTTGGGGTGGCGGCGGTCGCCACGAGTGCTCAGGTTTGGACCATTCGGGTCGGGGCAAGTGTGCCGGGCGTTCGGGCCACGCCTCGGCCTCTGGCCAGCCCTCTGCTATCGGCTCCGGGTATATCAGCGGTGGCTGCGGTCGGTTTTGATGATGACCATGGTAGTTGCCGTACCGGCTGTCCACCAATTGCGGCCCAACCTCTTTGAAGTGTTTGGGCAGTGGGTTAACGCGGTTTATGTGGGTATTTTTGGCATGGTGTAACTCCGCTTGATCGATAGCTAGCACGTTTTCGTATACTGTAACAAATAGTAATAGGCCGACTATTTTTAGTAGTTTGTTTAGCATGTTTTAAAAGTTAGACATTTGCAGATGAAACCTGGTTAAAATGTAAATTGATTTTTACATTGTGCTCTCATTTATATAACGTGCATAATTAAAAATAAAATTAAAATTTTGTTTATTTTCTTGTCTAGTAATAATTATTGTAATATAAATAATAAGTGATTACTAATAATAATATTAAACATATTTTAAACAAGAATTATTTTTATGTTTTAAAGTATTATAACAACTGTAATTATAAAATAGTATTTTTAACTGTTAATTTAAATTAAATTTATTTATCTAACATTGGGAATTATTATGGATATTAATATAATGTACATGTATATTTATCAATTTTGGTTAAAGTAACCATTTATTTTCATAAATTTTTTAAACAACTGTAATTTATAAAATAATAGTTTTAAGTGTTAATTTAAATCTAGATAATTATTGATCATTGGAAAAGTTCCAAACACTCAAATAATAAATATAAATTACTGACCTTTTTAAAAAACTTTATAATTTCATTTATATTAATTTCAGCTGTAAATTATAAATTAATTTATAAACAAGTTAATTTAAACTTTAATAATTTATCAATTATTGGTAAATCGAATAAATTGGCATTATTATAAACATTTATAATTTAATTTGCTACATTTATTTTTATGCACAGCGTACATTTATAAGTTATAACAATAACGTACTAATGATTGTTAATTAAAAATACAATATTTAATTGAAAAATATTACAATACAATTATTGTATTACAATAACTGATCAAGGCACAGTTTCATTAGTAGCCAGCTCAGGTGTACGAGGCTCATTAATAGGGGGCAGCAAATCTGACCACTGCTCTTGTAGATCATGGTGATTGTGGTGGTGGTGCTCGGACTCAGGCCTATGCGCTTCGGGCAACGGTGCGAGTTCGGCGACTGGGCCCGACTCGGGCAACACTATCGCCGACACAGGGATGTGTTGGTTATGGCTGTGATGGTTATGATGGCTGTCGTGATGCTGTGGTTTTGGCAAATGTATGGGCTTTTGAGGGCTCGGCGGCCGGACTGGCGGTTCGTGAAGGGGTGGGTGCGGCCGATGAAGCGGTTTATGGGGTTCGGGAAGGAGCGGAGGTTCGGGCGCGTGAATAATAGGCGGTTCCGTTATGGGTCGATGCGGGGGGCGCTCGGGTTCAGGCCTTAGCGGCGGTTCGGGCGTAATCTCCACCCAACCCTCGGGCTCGGGCTCTACCACTGGCTCTGGTGGCGGTTCCGGTGCTCCCCAACTGCCCTCCGGTTCAGACCATGATGAGGGTGGTTGTGGTTGTGGTGGTGGTGGGCGTGGCTTATGGGGCCTATGAGGCTTTAAAGGCTTATGTGGCGGTCGCTCAGGTCGTGGTGGCGGTGGCTGTGGCGGGTGTACGGGTGCCGGCGCCCACTCGCCGTCGGGGAATGGATTGTGAGGATAGGGCACAGGTTTTGTTGGACGCTCGGGTCGGGACGGCGGGACCGGCGGGAGTTCGGGTACAACTGGTGGCGCCGGTGGCTGTGGTTTATATGTCGGATATAAGGGCTCCGGTGTAATGATCTGCTCAGGCGATGGCGGCTCTGGGTATCCCGGAGGTGGGCGCTCGGGTTGGACGGGCGGGGGTCTAATATTGGGTGACTGTTGCCATGGGATAGGCGGCCCCTCGGGCAGTAGAGGCCAGTGGGACGGGTTTGAGTACTCGGGCGAAGGGGGCGACAGTTCTGGCACTATGTGTATACCGGGGTTAGGCTTCTCCGGTAGAAACGATGGCGGGTAAAAGTGGTCCGGATTGCCCGGATATACGGCAGACGGCGCCGGACCTTCCGGGTAAGGGAAACCCGGTATTATTGAGTTATTAGGGGGTAAAGGCGGTGCCGGTGGTTGTTGTTGATGGCCAGGGGGTGGTTTGTGTGGTCTGGGTTTAGGTTTATGTGGTCTTTGGTGTTCAGGTTTAGGTTTTTGGTATGAATTTTCTGGTTTAGGTTTTGGGTACGGGTTTTCTGGTTGCGGTTGTTGTGAGTGGTGTCCACCGCCGGTGTTGTGGTCCGGGTGTGGATAGTTGGGCGCCGGTATGAACTCGTCCTCCGGGTATGGGTTGACGATCGGCGGCAATGGGAACGAGTGTTTGGCCGGATTGGTCTCTATGGGTGGCGACGGATCCACAGGTTGTTTATCAGGTTTAAGTTTAATAGTTGATTTTAGATGATCATGATCCACGATTGAACTTTGTACTGGCGCGGTGTCATTGATCTCTATGGTTGTTGAACTAGCTTGTTTAATTGCTGATGTTAGTGTGTTGTTTTGTCCATCAGATTGATCTTGGGTAATTACCCAACTGGTGCAATGTAATAGGGTGATGATTATTAATAATAATAGATTCATTATTTTATGCATGGTTATGAAAAAACGTTCACGATCACATTATTTAGCGAAATATTAGTTGCGTTTATATTGTAATTACTATTGAAAAATAATTTGTAGTGTTTTTCCATCTCTAAACATGTGATAGTTTTGTTTTTACACAAATTAAAAACATAGATATATTTTTAATTAAAATGTATATAAAATTTATTTTATTTTATTATTGAGTTGAATGATCGAAAAATTGGTTTTAAAACTGTGATACGGTATTAAATTAAAAATTAAATTATTTTATAAGTACAAATAAAATAATATTTTACTTAATAGTACTTAATAATCAATAAATACTTCATTTCAAAATTAACTAAACAAATCTAGCTAAATTATTTACATTAATTCTAGCAATTAATTATTGAACCTTAAAAATGGGTAAAATAGTGTCAGATAATCAAATAACAAATAAATTATCAAAATTGAAAACAACAAATTTTATTAAGCACAATTTAATTTATACACAACATGATAACTTTACTCAGCCTTCAGCACCACCTCATCTTTCTTGGTCTCTGCCTTTACCTCCTCCTCCTTCTTGGTGTCTCCCTTTCCCTCCCGGGGCTCATTGATTGGGGTCCAGTGCTGATGATGACCACCTCCATGGCCACCACCACCTCCATGATGGCCCCCATGGGACACGTGACCCAAATCAGTAGACCATGACTGCTCCGGTAGGGGCAGTTCGGGCACGTGTTGGTGATGATGGTGCTCGGGCTCGGAGTGATGATGACTGGGCACGGGCTGCACCTCAGCCGACCACGACTGCTCCGGTTGGGGCAGTTCGGGCACGTGTTGGTGATGATGATGGTGTTCGGGCTCGTGATGGCTGTGGTGTGGGATGTGCTGCACTTCGGCCGACCACGACTGCTCCGGGAGGGGCAACTCGGCGATCGGGCGATGATGGTGCTCGGGTTCAGCATGGTGATGGTGGTGGGGAATGGGCTCCACCTGCGCGGGCCAACCGCCTTCAGGCAGCACCAACTCGGGCACAGGTTCAGCGTGATGATGGTGCTCGTGGTGATGCTCCACGTGGGGCAGGGGCGCCAACTCGGGGCTCCATGACTGCTCAGGTTGAGCCAACTCGGGCAACGGTTTAGGTTTGTGGTGGTGTTCGGCGTGCGGTTTATGCTCGGGTAAGGGCGCCAACTCGGCGGTGGGGCCGCTCTCGGGCAGCACTATTTCCGGTACGGGCTCCGGACGGTGGTGGTGGTGGTGTTCGGGTTTGGGTGGAGGCGGTGGTGGGGGTGGCGGATGGTATTCAGGTTTGGGCGGCGGCGGTGGTTGCCATTCTGGTTGGGGCGCCGGTTGCCACTCCGGCACCGGGTTATGCGATCCGTGTTGAGATTGTTGATGTTGCTGTCCGTGACCTGAATTGGGTATCTCCCATGGTAACAGCCCACCATGGTTGCCTCCACTTTGCCCACCGTTGTGCCCTCCATTATCGCCCCCGCTTTGCCACCCACCATGATTGCCTCCATTGTGGCCCCCGTTTTGTCCACCACTGTGCCCTCCATTGTCGCCCCAGTTTTGGCCCCCTCCATGTCCTCCCTGGTTGCCTCCATTATCCCACCAGTTTTGCCCCCCTCCGTGCCCTCCATTGTGCCCTCCATTGTGCCCTCCATTGTGCCCACCGTTGGGGTCGACCAATTCGGGGGGCAATTGATACTCGTTATCATTGATGTGTTGCGGCGGCGGTTTGTACACGGGTTTAGGCTTTTGCGCCACCGGTTTGGGCGGTTTGACAACAGGTACGTCCTGTTCAACCGGTTTGACAACAGCACTGGGCTTATGGGCCACCGGTTTGGCTGGTTTTTTGGGCGGTTTGACGGGTTTTGGCGGTGGTACCAGTGGTTCGTCAGACTCTGGTAAGTCTACGGCCACCGGTTTGGCCGGTTTTGCCGGCGCTTTGACCGGTTTTTTGCCCGCTTTCTGGTCGGTGTCCGGTATAATTGTGTCCACATTTACCTCGTTAATAACCTCGTTAGTCTGGGCCGATTCCATGTCACCCTGGCCATTAGTCAGGCTTATGTAAGCCACCAAAACAAATAAAAGTAATATTTTCATGTTTTTTAAACTAATCAGAGCAAAAAATAATTTTATTTTTTGCGTTTGCCAGTTAAACTAAACTAAAAAATTGTTAACTAGTTGATTTTATTTTTATATGCATGTTTTTATAATACTTGTTAATTAACTGGTATTATGGTGCATTAAGTTGTGTGATTAACATATGGTGCAGGTAAATCTGTTTTTAAATGCAAAAAACACCATCGTAAGTCAATAACATTTTAATATTTAATAATAACCAAGGTTAATTAAGCACTGTTGTTAATTTTGAGAAAATTTTATTTTATTTTATCACAATAAAACATTTCAACTTTTATTATATTATTATTAAGTTGTTAACAAATAAAGTTGCTTTATATTTATTTTAACATTAATTAATTTTAATTCATATTAATTAAACATGTTACCAAATAAATAAATAAATAGCATAATT